ACTAACACTTTTTCCTGGCTAACCTTTGTTAATCATTCTAATCATCTTTCATAAATTTCCATGCTAAATCTGCTGGAAATTAACAAGAAAACAGGAAGAAAAATTAGAAAAATAGTGACCAGCAGAACAGATGTAGTTTTACAGTTTTATAAAAGATCAAGTGGAGGCCTTGCAACTACTTTCCTGTTAAGGAGAAAATCCCTGAGACAAGAGGCTTAATGGAGCCAGATTAAGGAATCCTAAAGTCTGCTGTTCTCTGGTACAAATTCTTTGTATGAGTGAGGGTTCTTACTGCATATTGTATTAAAATCACTGGTAAACATGAAATATTTCTCTCTGAGATAGCTAATTCTGCAAGTTAGTGATTCCCAAAATTGCGGCATTATTTGTTGAAATATATTAAAGAGTAAAAGAAACTTGCAAATTGACTTGCTATAACTGTCTCATTTTACAAGAGGAAGCTGAGGTTTGCATGTGATTCAGTAAGCAGTGAGCTAGAACTAGAATCCACATCTCCCCATTTCCACATCTGCATATCACTACAAGGGACTCATTGCTTTAACTTACAAATGTAGAGCAACTTCAACGTATATTTCTACCATTTTAGAGCGTTATTTACACTATTGCATATACATACTGCACAGTACAAATACCTGCAATACCAACTAATTTTACATAAACTGATACATATCCTTTTGCAAAAATCTAGTTTAAACATTACCAAAGCATGGGTAACTGTCTCCATCTCCCACTGAAACAAAGCTGAGAGAACTAAGATTTCCTATCCTGTCTGTAGTAGGAAGAAATCGACCTCCCAAAGATGTCCACATCCTAGTTTATTCTAGCTCTACTTTCTGGAATTTATGAAAATGTTAAATTATAAGGCAAAGGAGAACTTAAGTTGCCGATCAGTTGAACTTCAATTAGAGAGCGTATCCTGTATTTCCAAGTGGGACCAATGTAATCCACCAGGGTCCTTAAATGTGGAAAAGAGTGGCAGAAGAGTCAGTGTCAGAGTGAAATGATATGAGAAAGACTTCTTAACCAGCCATTGCTGTCTTTGAAGATGGAAGGAGGCAATGAGCCAAAGAGTGTGGACAACCTCTAGATATGACAAGGCAAATAACGAATTCTTCCTCAGAGCTTCTAGAAAGGAACACTGATGCCTTGATGTTAGCCCAGCGAGACCTATTTTTGACATCTGAACTATAGAACTGCAAGGTAACAGATTTGTTTTGTTTTAAGCTAATAAATTTGTGCCAATTTGCTACAGCAGTAATAGATAAATATACTTCCCACAGGTTCATTTGGTGCTTTCCTGTGACCCCTGTCAAGATATGGAGGCTTGTTATAAAATATCTACCAGAGGGGAATAAAATTATTATTGGTACTAATCCAAGGCAACTAAGAAATCTGTTCCCTTGTGAAACAATAACAATTCTCAAAATTCAATTCAAATGAATATTTATTGAACTCATATTAAATTACAAATGTTTAAGAAATGTCCTCCCATGATGTCAAATTCTTTCCACCCAGCCCAAGGTCAATGTATTGCTGTTTCTCCTGGGCTGGGAAGCCCGATCTATGTTTCATTAGTTGCTATGATTATGCAATTCTCTATTTCATAGTAGTAGGCTTGTTCTGAAGCTCAGAATCTTCTTAGAAAGTAGTGGGTAGCAGGGGGGTGGACAGCTAGTGGAACATTTGATTCATTTTCTGAAAATGAGAAAAAAAGAAAGAAAAAATGAAATGGGAGTTACCTAATGCTCAAAAGATCAGCCTCATCTTTCCCATTTACCACTGTGACCTTGGGCTTAAGTCACTGTGTGACTTAATTTTTGAAGGTGTAATTCCTTATCCTCCCTCCCTCTCCTTGTGCCTTAAGTGAGATATTTACACAGTCTGGGTATCCATTTTTCTTCACGAAGAAATCATTTTAGTGGCTTCCAAAATAGCCAAGAGTGAGGCCAAGTATTAAAACTGGCACCTCCTGATACAAAGCCCAAGGCTTTGCAATTTTTAACAAAATTATATCTTCTATGCATCAGAAAATCTGATGCCTTTTCTTCAGGCTCTGCCTTAAAAATATTCCATGGCCTGGACTAGGATCCATATCCTAGAGAGTCAGGAAGAAAGGAATCTTGGAAAGCTAAAATGAGAGGACTTATTTACCCTATGCCTATTTGGTTACTGAAAATCCTGATAATTAGACTTGGAAGATAAATCTCAGAGAGAAAAGAGGTTGTCTTTAACCTCTACATTAGATTTTATAGCTTATCTCAGCATCTGGGAAAGCCATTACATTTGGAATCCTTTCCCAGTGGATTAAAACCAGAACTGAAAATGGTTTCAGATCTCCAATACAATATCAGGGGCAAGAGAAGAAACTTACAAAAAAGCACTGAGACAGACTCATTGGTTCCCATGGAAGTGCTGGGCTCATCTGCAATTAAGTGAAGAAAAGGTTTTTATTCATTTCCAGTAATGTGTGTCTAGCATTCAGTGTGTCTAGCATTCAGCCAACAGCCTCAAGTAGCGCTAGCTAACGTAGGATTCCACTGAGTCTGTGGCACTGAAAGTTTCCTTCTCCTAACCGCCAAGGCACTCTGCCGTGCCTGAATCTTACCAGTGGAAATGGAACGCAAATGGTCTCCATGAGAAGGATTTGGGTAAAGGGTTGGTCTCCATTCACACTTGGAAGCCCTGAGAGTAGCACATAAATTGGTCATATCCTCATGTGCAAGAGCCATACTCTCTCTTCTCCCCCAAAAGTGGATTGAGCTAAGTGAATGTGAGGGTTGGTTGAGAAGGGTGTAAACACAGGCAGAGTACCTACCAGAGACTCACTTCTTGAGTCTTTCCTGGAAAGCATCCCAACTAAAAATTCCTCAAAGACCAAGAATAGGCAAAAAAGACAAGGATTTTTGGCCTTACCTGGTACTCTAGTCATGGGCTCTTCCGAATAAACACTGGTGACATTTGCTAGAAGTAAGGAAGTAATGTTTTAATTTAAAAGGTTAAAACCTCCATGGATTTTCTCTTTCTGTTAAAAACCAAAGAGTCTCAGTTTATTGGTAATTGCCACAGTCAGAAAACATCTCCTGATAGACACGTTAGGAAACAGGTGGGGTCCAGGATATTAGCAGAAATGACTAGATGGATCTGGGCCATGAGAATGTTTCTTGCTCTTGTAGTCAAACATGAAAGTTTTCCTGACACCCCATGGGTTGTAAGAGGAAGGAAGACATAGGTAACTTAATAACCATCCACTACATGCTGGGTTGTTGGAACAAAACAAACACTGAGGCAGAGAACCATTTTGCCAGGGACATAAGTTCTACAAATTAGATAATTAGTGGAAAAGCACAAATTTAAAGCCAGAGAACCAAACCTTTTTTAACAGGACCTTCAACTTCCACTAAAATACAATTCCTAGATTCCTCCACTACTACCTACAATCCTCCAATACACTTAGAGTAGTGCTGGAATATAGTAGATCTCAATACATATTAGCTATTATTTGTATACACAAGAATCAGATTTTTTAGAAATTTGTTTTTATAGGTAAGGCCCAAGGGTCTTTCTTAGCAGAAGTCCCAGGCATCCCTCGAACTACTGGGGTTTCTTTGTAGACGGAAGGCATTGAAATCTTATGACCCCTTGGCTAAGTGCTAGACAGAAAAGTGAAAAATGATGGAGACTTGAGAGAGGGATGTACAGAGATAGAGACACTGCTTAATTAATGAAGCTCTTAAATTCCTTTTTCTTCTGTTCAGCTTAAATTCAAATGAGATTTACACATCATAATCTTGATCTAAAAAGTTCCCCATGAGAATTTAATTGTAGTCAACTGAAAAAGAAAAGGAAATTCTTAATCTTGTTCTTTCCACTACACCCATCAACCCCTTGGAGATATCAAGGAGCTCATCCTCTTTAGAGAAGCCCAGAAGGCTGGTCCGGGAGATCAGGTAGGGGAAGACCTCTGGGCTGGAGCTATGTTGGTATTCAACTGGTTTCATCTCCTGACACTCTTGGAAAATGCTTCAGTTTTCCTCAAGTTTCAAAGAACTTTCAGCAAAGTTTACTCCACCTCAGAGAACAAAGCAGCAAAAGTATCCCCAAATGTGTGAGTTACCATAGGATATTCCTATGCAATGAGCTATAAACAAAGAAAGAGAGGCAGGGAGAAATTTCTGCGTTTTTGAAGACAAGAATCCTTACCTGTAGCCTCAGTGGCTTCTTTCTCAAAGCTGAGGATGTCTGATTCCACAGCAGTAGACATTTCTAGGAAAACAAATTGGAAGATGGGTGTGGTCACAAGCTTATGCTAGGAATCAAGTACTCTGGAGGACAGCAGGCTTTCTCTCAGAAATGTAAAAGATGGGAGCCCACCAAATCCTGCCCAGACCTCCTCTGAAGCCAGAACCCTCACTTACCAAAAGCCTGTGTGTTCTTCAAATAAACACGAGTGGTTGGCTCTAGGGAAGTGGTTGACTCAAGTGCAGTGGTCAACTCAAGAGCAGTGGTCGACTCAAGAGCAGTGGTTGACTCTAAGGCAACGGCTGACACTAGTGCAGTAGTTGACTCTAGCAGGTCAGTAGTCGAGTCTGGTATGGCAGTGGCCGACTCTAGCACAGTGGTCGACTCTAGGTCAGTAGTTGAATCTGGTAGGTCAGTGGTTGACTCTAGGGCAGTGGTTGAATCTAGTAGGTCAGTAGTTGACTCTAGGGCAGTGGTCAAGTCTGGTAGGCCAGGGGTCAACTCTAGGGCAGTGGCTGACTCTAGGGCAGTGGTCAATTCTAGGGCAGAGGTCGATTCTAGGTCAGTGGTTGACTCTAAGACAGTGACTGACACTAGGGCAGTGGCTGACTCTAAGGCAGGGGTCGACTCTAGGGCAGTGGTCGACTCTAGGGCAGGGGTTGACTGTAGGGCAGTGGTCGACTCTAGATCAGTGGTCAAGTCTGGTAGGTCAGTGGTTGACTCTAGGGCTGTGGTCAACTCTAGAGCAGTGGCCGACTCTGAAGCATTGGCTGATTTTAGAGCAGTGGTCGACTCTAGGGCAGTGGTCAACTCTAGGGCAGTGGTTGAGTCTGGTAAGTCAGTGGTTGACTCTAGGGCAGTGGTCGACTCTAAGGTAGTGGTCAATTCTACACCAGAGGTAGACTCTAAGGCAGTGGCCGATTCCAGAGCAGCGGCTGACTCTAGGGTAGTGGTCGACTCTAGGGCACTGGTCAACTCTAGGACAGTAGTTGACTCTAGGGCAGGGGTAGACTCTAGGGCAGTGGTCGACTCTAGATTAGTGGTTGAGTCTGGTAGGTCAGTGGTTGACTCTAGGGCCGTGGTCAACTCTAGGGCAGTGGCCAACACTGGAGCTGTGGCTGACTCTAGGGCAGTGGTCGACTCTAGGGCAGTGGTCAACTCTAGGGCAGTGGTTGAGTCTGGTAGGTCAGTGGTCGAGTCTGGTAGGTCAGTGGTCAACTCTAGGGCAGTGGTCGACTCTAGGGTAGTGGTCATTTCTAAGGCAGAGGTAGAATCTAGGGCAGTGGTCGATTCTAGAGCAGTGGCCGACTCTACAGCAGTGGTTGACTCTAGAGCCATGGTTGACTCTAGGGCAGTAGTTGACTCTAGGCCCGTAGTTGACTCTAGGGCAGTAGTCAATTCTAGGTCAGAGGTCGATTCCTGGTCAATGATAATGACTTGGTCAGTGATGAATTCTAGAGGAACCAAAAAAGAAAACAGCTCGAATACTTTCTAGCAAGAATATTTCCACTATCTCTGTACCATTCCCATTCTAAGCTAGATCTTTTTCTGGGGAAAACATGGAACTTAAAAGGGTATATTGGGGCCGGCCCCGTGGCTTAGCGGTTAAGTGCGCGCGCTCCGCTGCTGGAGGCCCAGGTTCGGATCCCGGGCACGCACCGACACACTGCTTCTCCGGCCATGCTGAGGCCACGTCCCACATACAGCAACTAGAAGGATGTGTAACTATGACATACAACTATCTACTGGGGCTTTGGGGGGAAAACAAATAAATAAATAAAAATCTTAAAAAAAAAAAAAAAAAGGGTATATTGAATCAAATGTGGTCTCACCACAAGTCTCTCTTCTGCTAACTGCTAGAAAATCCAGAAGACTAATTGCCACCCAGGAGTATGCTCAGCGTCCCCTATGCCGCACTCCTTTGAGGGTATCAGTTTAGGAAGGAGCATTTGATATTGTGCCTCTAAATGTGAATTGGTCAAACTGGAACAAAATAAAAATTTCAAAGATTCCCCCTCTATAGTCCTTCCACTTCCTGAAAACTAAACAAAAACAAAAGGGAGTCAGAGCAAAGAAAACAGCTATTTCCAAAGTGCATGAGCAAGAATGGCATCGACTCTAAAATGGGCTGCTCCTGCTATTTTGTCATTTAATGGGCTATGTCTAGGACTTCATTTTCCAGTCTGTCCCATAGAATGCACAATCCAGATGTTTTGGGGCTTGCTAACCATAAAAGCATCATAACTGTATAAGCCTGCTGGGCATACAACCAGGGTCTTCTTGGACTATAGTCAAAGATATGTAGTTACTGTGGCTGCCTATTTCAGCAGGTTACGGGCACCCTGCCAATGAGGCCAAAATCGTTAGCTCTCTAATTTAGTCATTTTGCTTTATCATTCATTAATATGCAGTAAAGAACCCCAAACCCAGCATCTGATAAACTGAGAGCTACCAGAAGGAAAACTGGGAGAAAGGGGATGGGGAAAAGTAACCATTTTAATGCAAATTAATGAACACGCATCCTCCTGAGAAATGAATTGAATTCAGGAAGGACTAGAAAAAGAAAGCCTTTTGGGGGAAAGCTTCCTTTCTCTGGTTCATGAGGACGCCTGTTTCTTTCCTTTCTCAATGTGACTCACAAGTTTCCATTCCAGACCCACTGATCTGCATGTGACTGAGCTAGCCACTGAAGCACTTGGAATTTTACTCTACCATCACATGAGGGCACCCCTAGGACTTTTTACCTGAATTAAACAGAATAAAGCCTCTTTAGCACTCAGTAGTAAATAGGACCACAGAAAACCCTCAGTAGTTCTGTAATCACCCACCTTAAGCCCATCTGGCCCAGCCTTATTACCTTTATGAAGTCAATTCAAACACACAACTCACATCTTAGCTTAGCCACTCAACCACCCAAGGCCTCAGAGCTCAGTTGCCCATCCCCACCTTGAGACCAACTTGACATAAATGTTACCCATTTCACTTTACAATGTTCGTTGCAGATCTCTTTTTGTCTCTGTCTATCTGCCTGTCTCTCTGTACTCATACACATGTGCACATACCACAAAAAGATTTCTTCTCCAAACAGCCCACTTACGCTGAAATTTGACAGGGTAAGCCACAGCCAGGGCGAACCAGGCAGAGAGGACCAGGGCAGTCCTGAGCATGGTGCCAGCGGGGAGTGCAGGAGGCTCTCAAAGGTGTGGAGGCAGGTGGCACGTCCCGGGGTTGCTGGGCCCAGAGCTCCGCTGGGCTTTTATAGAACCCTTAGCCCCAAGTCCCTGAAGGCGGCATTCCCAGGTGGTTGTAAAAAAAGGCCTGGTCCACACAACGAGAATGCCCCTGGAGAGAATGCCAGAAGAAGGAACTGGGGGAGGAGAAGCAAGGAGGAGGTTTGGAGGAAAACTCTGATAAGGTCCTTTGCGAAATTAGGTTCATTTATCTGCTTCTCAAAGAGGGACAGGGGAGAAATTCTAGTTCTACTAGATCATTGAGGTGACTTCCTCCTGACCCAAGATTGCAAGATTGTCATCTGGGCTGAAGCCAAATCATGCTTTACTCAGCCCCTGCAATGTTATTTTGTGTCAGAGTGCGAGACTGAGTTTCAGATCAAGTGTCATGGTGAGTCATGAAGCTTTAGCCCAGGAGCCTCCAACCAAGCTTTCAGTTTCATAAAGGCCCTCTTGAGCCCACTGGCTACTTTGACTCTAACTGCAAATGGTATGGTAACCGTGGCAGGATCCCGAAAGAGAACTGTGGATGATAGTAATAACAATTACTACTAGTACTTCTAACTGCTATAACTACTAGAAGCATCCCAAATTATATTACAACATTTCACATGGGCTACTATCTCATTTGAATCTCACCATGATCCTCTGCGGGAGTCATTATTATCCCCATTTTTCTGATGAGGAGCCTAGAAGTCGAGAGATTAAATGACTCCCGATTCCCCTGAAGGTATTCACGCTATAGGGATGCCATTAACAGCGAGTACCTCTTGGCTGTGTGGACTCCTGCTAGTGACCTTCCCAGTCCTCTAGGGGGCAGTATTAACCTGCAATGTGTCCGCTGAAGCACAGACTTTAAACCTCACAATAGACGTAAAATAGGCTGAGAAAATACAAAGTTTTGGGACTAGCTCACTGAAGTCAACCTCAGCGCTCAATTAAATGTCCTACCACTACCTGGAAAGCAGGTCTTTATCTCTTATGCACAACTGCCATCACAGGGTCAAACTCTCATGATGCCTTTAGGTCTCAGTTTTCTTTACTTAAAAAGTCACAGCTAATGCCTGCTCCTCAGAAACCACAGAGCAGACAATACTGAGAGAAACCTCTCAGTAATAACATCTAATATTTATCAGGTGCTCAACTATGTGCCATAGGCATATATTAATTTAATCTAATACCATATGTAAGGTAATCTTATTATTCTCTTTTTTTGATGAAGAAACTATGACACAGAGAGGTTAGGGAACTTATGAAAGGACACACAGCAAGTGTTATAGAATCAGGAAGCAAACCAGTGGGCAGTCTGATGCTAGGGCCTATGCTCTCAACCACTCTATTGTTTATCCCCCGCCCCCACCCTGTTATCTCCCTGATCTCCTCATTGCTAGCTTTGTCCTGTTAAGTGTGACACTGCGTAAGCTTCACCCTAAACACAGGGGGAAAACACATGCACACACACATTGGAGAACATTTTCTTTTTCTGGAAGTTAAATTTCCGTTGCATGTCCTGTGCAATGAAATGTAACCCGTACACAATAGTCAGGAGCTTGGGGAGAAGCTCATGAAAAACTTGCAGCCAAATAACACCAGCAAACGGTAGGACTCAAATGAGACAATAATGCAGTAAGTCATGGAAGAAGGGAGATTTTATCTGCATCAGCCACAATATGAGATTTTTTCCACCCCAGAAAAGTACTAGAATCGACCTCTAAACGTACTGAGTTGAATTTCCACACTCTTTTGAAGAGAGTTGGACCAAGAGTTATGAAGGTATTGGAGGGGCAGGAGTGACCTACTCCCCCTAGAAGCTTTGACTTGTTTTTGACCATCTAATTTTGTGGACACCCTTTTAGATGTTTATCCAAGACTCATGGCACCATGACCACAGTGACCACTATGTTGGTCACCATATGAGAGCAATTTGGTTTCACTTCATGGAGATAAGTTATTCTGTCTCTTCACCTGAATATAGCTCAGTCCTTAACACAGTGGGTTTCAGAGAGGAACCAGGTCTCTATTAAGGTGAGATCTCGTAAAATTATAAAGCTATAATTGCATGGTTTTTCATTAATAAGAGTTATAGTTCTGTTATTGTGTTAATGTAATATTTTGACGTTGCTTTTTACATATGCTATCTGATGTTATGGAATCATGTACTCTCATGGTCGAAGGTATTTTAAATGGTACTCAACTCAGTCATACATTCAAGGTCTTTTTTTTTTTAATATAAGGGTATTTTTCTCTTATATGACACAACTATCAACTGGCCTATCATCCCTAGTGATGGGGAACTCACTACCTTGAGAAGAACAGCTCATGTTGGGACACACTCTTTTCAGCAGCTAAATTATGCCTTCCTGTAATTTCAACCTGCTTGTGCAAGTTGTACTCTTGAGGGTCATATGTAGAAAATTAGGTCCCTCTTCTCTCTTCAGATGTCAGAAGCAACTATCATTTTATATTTAATTTCTTTGCAATCCTAAGAAAGGTGTAAATTTTGAAGAACAAAAATTGTTCCCTCAAATTTACCCCCCACCTAGCACAGTCTAGCACATAGGAGGTGCTGTTATTTATCATATATAAATATTATATTTTATATATTTATGTTATATATAAATTAATAAATGAATGACTAGATGACTCCTGGTCACTACTCTGATCTCACTTATTTAGACCTCTTAAGACCTCTTCTAAAAAAGAACTAAAATAAAACTAACTATCACATATTAGATCTGATTAGAATAGAAGAAAGAATTCCCTATCCTTCCCTCCTGTAAAATACATGGTATTAATTTGATTATATTAAATTAATTTTTATATTAACATTGAAAAGTAGGCCTGGCAGAAAGTATGAAAAGTTTCCTGAGAGCATTAAAGAGATTCAAAAGCCTTTGCATCCACTTCCTCCAGAGTGAGACCAGTTTCTGGCAAGTGACTTGAGCTGGGAGGGATATTCTGCAGATGTGCCTCAGTCCCTCCCTCACGCCTACCCCCAACAGACACAATCTCTGAATCACGTGACAGCACGGATCCAGGCATTTGACTGAGGGCAAGGACCTTCTTTCATTCCAAACCCCAATAATCATTCCCCCCTTGGGGAGCAGTGTCCAGAGATCAAGACTCAAGTTTCTCCCTTAGGGTATTGAAAGCCCAGAGTGAGATAAAAATACTGTGCACTAGCCATGTAACCTCACAGATTAGATATGGACAAACACTGACGTCACTGAAGTGCCAAAGAAAGAGGAGAAAGGTGTATTGTAGAAAATATATTTGAAAAAATATGCATGAAACTTCCAAAATTGGTAATAGACATAAATTTACAGATTCAAGATGCTCAGTAAATTCCAAAAAGAATAAACTCAGAGAAAACTACACCTGGACAAATCATAATTAAACTGCTGAAAACGAATTCAAAAGAAAAAAAATCAGAGAAAGGGCAGTGTGATATCTTTAAGGTGCTGAAAATAAAGAACTTTCAACCCAGAAGTCTACATCCAGAAAAAATAGCATTCAGGAATGAAGGTGATATTGATAAATTTTCAAATGGAGGGATTTTAAGAGAATTATTCAGCAGTAGAACTGCTCTTAAAGAAATGCTAAAAGAGCATCTTAAGGCTGAAAAGAAAGAAATGATAACACAGGGAAACCTGTAACTTCAGCAGTAAAGGAAAATGCAATGGAATTGGTAAATATATGTTCATATAGAGTAGACTATTTTAGTTCTCATAAATTCTTTAAATATACATGAATGTAGAGAGCAAAAAAAAATCATAGTGTCTGAGAGCTTTCAGTGAATGTAAATATAACACATATGGCAACTATAACATAAAAGGGAGGCCACAGGGTCCTATATGGTGATAAGAGTTCTATGCTTTACTTGAACTGATAAAATATTAACTCTCAATAGACTGAGACAGGTTAGGAATGTCATATCCCTACGTCAACCACTAAAGTAATTATATGAAGTCTAAAGTCAAAAAGCTAATAGATAAAATGGAATACTATAAACAATTTAAAAATTTTAAAAGACAGGAAATGAGGACAAGTGGAAAATAAAACCCAGAGAGAAAAAACATAAAAAAATAATACATTCATTGATCTAAGTCCCAACATTTCATTTTATTTTATTTTTTATCTTTTTAATTCTTTTTTTCTTTTTTTTTTTTTTTTGTGAGGAGGATCAGCCCTGAGCTAACATCTGATGCCAATCCTCCTCTTTTTTGTGGGGAAGATTGGCCCTGAGCTAACATCCGTGTCCATCTTCCTCTACTTTATATGGGACGCCACGACAGCATGGATCAACAAGCAGTGCCTAGGTGCGCGCCCAGGATCCGAACTGGAGAACCCTGGGCCGCAGCAGTGGAGCGCACGCACTTAACCGCTTGCACCACTGGGCTGGCCCCCCAACATTTTAATAACACATTTAATGTAAATGGTCTAAACAAACCAAGGGGGAAACAGAGATTGTCAGATTAATTCAATAAAAAACAAGGCCCAAATATATGCAGTGTAACAGAAATTCATTTTAATATAATTATATAGAGAGGTTGAAAATAAAGCATAGAAAAGATATACCATGGTACCATTAATAAAAGTAAACTGGAGAAACTATACTGATACGACACAATGCAGACTTCAGAATAAGAAAAGTTAATAGGGATAAAACGTTTAAAAAATGACAGAAAGGTCAATACCTAAGAAGACATAATAGTCTTAAATATGCACACATATAGCAAGAGAGTTCCAAAATACATGAAGTATGAACTGATAGAACTGAAAGGAGAAAAAAACAAATCCACTATCCACTTGGAAACTACAACTGTCTTCATTCAGTAATCAGTAAAGCAGGTAGACAGAAAATCAGTAAGGACGTAGGACACTCAAACACTAGCAACCAACTTGACCTAATGGGCATTAATAGAACACTCCACTCA